TGAATTTTATTTTTTAAAATAATATATTTTTAATAATATATAAAAATATAATTAATATATTTTTAATAATATATTTTTCAAAGTAATATATTTTTAATATATAAAAAATAAAATATTTTTATAATTTATATAAAAATAAAATAATATATATCCAAATTTAATATAAATGCTATTTTTTAGTTTTATTTTTATATAAGTATTTAATATATCTAATTAAACAATAAATAAAAGTAATATTATTTTTTTAACATAATTTTATTTAATATATTTTAATCATTATTTATAATATATATTATATATTTATTTTTTATTATTATTTGTTGATTTTATTTCTTTTTTTTCTTTTTTTTTTCACGAAACGATAGAGAATATTATATAACAAAAGCGCACAAATGTGCAAAATACACAGCCCATAGCTGAATAATACCGCCCACAACTGAGAAAATGGGAGGACAAGTCATAAAACCGCCTGGAACCCGACTAGCAACGCTAGAAAATATACTCAAAAACAACACAACACAAAGACCTCAATGTGGAACGACCCCCAACGAGGTAACGTGAAACGACCCCCAACGAGGTAATGTGGAACGACTCCAATGGAGTAATCCCTCTCACAGGGGCCAAGTGACCCAAACCTAAAAACCAAGACTAGAGCAACACCAACACAGACTCAAAATAGACTAAAACGAAAAAAAGACTATTAAACGAAAATATGGCCCTTCCCCAGCCAATCATAACGAGAACCAGCCAGCAGCGAACAATCAACCCAGGAAAAATTCGAGGCACAGGAACCACAACCGAAAATGCGATCACGCCTATACAGAAGTCGAGCCCAAGCCCCGAACTATCTAAAATTGACCCACCCCACCGAGAGAACGATGAGCCAGTTCCCCTCTCCATCGCCAGTCGAACTCGTCTAACACTACTAGTCGAGTTCGGTAGCTCCGGAGTCCCCCACAGTCCCAACACCAGAGGACCGGGGGTGGACCTGCTCCATTCCACAACTCTGACGTCCCCGACAATGCACCGCAGCCGCCAGAGCCCCGACCCGCCCGCTGAACCACACCTATCTCAAGCCCCCTCCAACCTTCAACCATCGGAACCCTATCTGCAAGAACCCTATCAGAAAAGGCGTGCCCGACCCCGATCTCGAACTGGACCAAGAGAAGATTGGGCGGCAGGACGCCTCAATAGAGGACTTACCGGCAACCAAGGCCCTCACCAGACTTCGACCAAGGGAGANNNNGACCAAAGGAGAAACACCAGAAATCAACGCGCCGGCAACCAAGGGCTGGAACATGGACCCCCTCTAAAACGAAAAAAGACCCAATCCCGGACTCAAAAAAATTGAAAGTAGAACACCGCGATTGAGTACAGAACGGCGACCAATAGGCCCATCAGTCATCGATTGAGAAGACCACCAGTCATCGATCGAGGGCGGAACACCGAGACCTCGAAAACGCCCGCAACAAAGGGGAACCTCCAATCCCGAACATCTGCAGAGGAGAGGGACACGCGCCACAGAGACGGGCCGAGCGGTCAAGGGTGACCGCTGGCCTGAGCTTCGCCGTCGCCGGGGAAGGCTATTCAGCGGCGAATTGGAGAGAAAGTTTTAGCGATTGGGGATGCGAGGAGAAAGGGAAAAAACGGTTTAATTTTATTTCTTGAAAAATTGATTCCTACACACATTGGAATGTGAAACCTTCTGATG